GTGGGGGAAGGATTGTAGTAGTTTAATCTCTGTTTATAAAAACGAACTCTAGTGTGAATGCTGACAATAATACCGGTTCTCCAATAATCAGATTTACATTGAGATGGGATCTAACTTGACCTTACAGCTACTGAAACCTGCAGGTTCTTCAACAGCTCTTTATTTCATACCTGCATACAACAATCAGGTCTTTTGAAGTTTTCTATAGCATGGAGAGCAACACAGCCTAAGCTGTTTTTCCCAAACATTTTCACACTGAAATAAATAAAATGACTTCTATATGTAGAAAGAAATAAAGGCTTGAATAACCCTGTAGAACTTAGATATTAAGGAAAAGCAACATCTTTGTCTAGAATAAAGTTTCATACTGTTTCTTGTATGTAAGAGATGCTGTTATTCATAGCGAATCAAAAATAGACTTAAATGAATGAAACTTGAGTATTAAGGATTTTTAAAAGTGTTTAACAGATTACATTATAGGAGGAAGTAGGTGAATTTAAAACAACATGCATAAATGGAGATGTAATTACGCACACGCTCTTGAAACTTAGTAATTTCTTGTGCAGCAATTCTCTTCCTTTCCTCCTTTTCAGCTTCCTCTCTCTTCTCCTTTTCAAGCTTTTCAAGTTCCTCCTTTTCTTTCTTCTGCAAGGTATATCTTTCCAACAGTAACTTCATGTGGCATTGGCGCTGGCGTTCTTTTTGTTGCTTTTTCTCCTTCTCTTCTTCTAGTTTTAGTTGCGATGCTTGTTCCATTGCAAATGCTATTGCCTTCTGTTTCTTCCATGCTTCAACTGCTGCTTCTTGTCTTTTTCTTTCTTCTTCCGCTTTTTGCTTCTGAGCTTCTTCACGCTGTAGCCATTCTTCCTTGAGCATTTTTTCTGATTTCTCTTTCTTCTTCAAATTTCTTTCTTTTTCTTGCTGCTGCTTTTCTTTCCACTTCTTAATTGACTACAAGAGAACAGCAGGAAAAAAAAAATAAGGTTTTCATGAAAATTATACACATTCCTGTTGATTCAGTCTGGTGAAAACATATGCTCCAAGGATACAAACTGCAGATAGGAATGAAAAGTCTACTAAAGGCAAAACAGCACCTATGTCTGCTTTCTCACAATTTTTTTTTTCTATTTTATGGATCACACACACAGGTTTAATATGTGCCTGCTAAAATTATTTAAGTTATGGCATTCATATTACCTTGGAGTAGTTATGAATGTTGGTGTAATATGCTTTTTTTTTTTTAATGCAAACATATTTCAGGTCTTAATTTTTTTCTTCAAATTAACAATTCCAACTACTATTTTATAATTCAGTTTTTATGTCAGTGTATCTTTTATTACTCAGATGGATAGTTCTTGAAGGAATCATAATTCTCTATGTCAGAATGGCAGAGATATATTGCCTAAACAGTGGGACAGATATTCTTAGGGACAGATGTAGTAAGAACTGCAATTTCAGATAGGATCACTTACTGCTCTGGGACTGGCATCTAACTTGCTGGACCACTGCTATCAAAAGCACTCATAACATAGTTTGGCAATACACAGTCCACTTCAGTGTGTTTTTAGGTCTACACTTATTGGTAATTCTTTAAGACAAATATTTTTGGCAAGTTAAGGATGCTAAAGACTTCAGTTATATACCATCAACTATAACGTAAGTCCACCTAGCACTACCACCAGACAGGCAAATACAAAAATAAGAAATGCATGCATATTAAAAATGAGTACTGTTTCTTAAAGCTACAAAAGCCTTAGAGGGGTTATTTTACCTCTCTCTTTCTTTTGTGTAAAATCAGAAATTCTTGATACCATTTGTCGTGCTGTTCAATGTCTTCTTTTGTTCTTCCACAGAGATACTCAAGGGCTTCATCCATGTAGGATAGCCTTCCTTTGTGTTTTGTCCACACTTTCAGAAAATTTTGATGATCATAATCATCCCAGCCTCCTTGCCGCCCTCCTGTTCGCTGAAGAAATCTTTCAAACTCTACTACTTCTTCAGGTAGATGATTTTCCAGTGTTTTATCAACTGAGACCCTGGCTGATGGTAATTTCAAAACTTTTTCTGTTGTTGAGCTGCCTAATGCCCACAGTTCCACTTTTCTCTCAAAGACACTGAGCTCATTAATGGCAGTTTTCTCCTCCTTCAAAAGCTGTTCATATCTGAAAAGAGAATGAACAGTGAAATAAGAAAAAAAAAATCCAGGATTCATTGTTCATTCACTGAAAATGAATTTTGGAATTGTTCAATGCCACACAAAAGCTATTTTTCAAAGATTAAGAACTGAAATGGTAACACAGATGACAGCATGCTTGTAATTATCCCATAATACAGCACTACACAGTCAGAATTAAGTTACCCTTTTAGTGAAAGCACACATTTATGGCACTCAAACAACTAACTCGGTCTCCTCCTGACACCAGTAGAGAGAAAGGGAAAAAAAAACCTACCCACTTAAAAAACAAAACAGCAGCAACAACAAAAACCCCACACTAATCTCTTCTGCAGCCTTTCTCTGAAAAGCCTTCTCATAGGCCAATCATGTTACATCGGATCACTGCAATAGCTATATATATACAGCCCCTCTAAAAGGTTGTTTATCAAGATTCTAACGTTGATAGCCTGAGTTTTGATTTACATACCACAGGAATCACTAGCAAAAGAGTAAATCAAAAGAATAGTTTACTTGATTAATGCAAAGTTTTCATTGTGTCTTATGAAAGCACTTTTTCTTGTAGATGAAGTATGTATAAACATACATTTGCCTCTGTTCCTCCTTAAAAGCATTGATTGCATTTTCAACTTCTTCCATCATTTCCTTGAGCTTGTGAACAACTAAAAAGGAAAAGAAAAGAGTGTGTCTGTTAAGTAGTCTCCAGTATTTACCAGTAATTCAGCACTATCCAGAAATGTAGGCACTTGCAGACACTTCTGTGACTCTTTTATTTCAGTGTACAAAAAAGCATGTCTTTCCATCTCAGCCAGCCTTGACAGACAAGACTCTCATTTATTCAAAAGGTGTGATTTCACAGTGATTCAGCTAACTGGATGCAAATCCCAGTATAAATGTTTATTTCCATTAAACAAGTCTCATTCTGAGTAACCGTCAACTGATTCACAGAATAAGACAGCCTTATCCTAAAGAGTTTCCACTTTTGTTTTTTATAACAATGCAGTTAATGACTTAAGAAGCATGCTCAAATCTTTGGCTTATACCAGGCTGTAGCAATCCTATTTAACCTACAGGTCACTACTTTTACAAAGCTGACAAAGAAACGTCAAAGTAAGACTTTATCCTGTACTGTCAGCATGCTGTAGCCCTGATACGGAGAAAGACAGTAAGACAGCTGCCTAGCGAAGATCTATTTTGAAGTGGTAGGAAAAAGTTTTAGGACCTGTTTTAAACCAGCACAACATCTCTATGGACACATACTGAACACATAGTTTAACTAACCTGGCTTTAAAAAATAATAAACTAGATTGGTACAGTTATATCATGTAAAACTCTTAGTTCAGCTTTCATGCCTTGTAGTTCTTGGCATCTTTGCTGACAGCTTAAGAAGATAATGCATTTTTTATAGAATAGACACTGAATAAATGAAACAAGAGGCATTTTATCTAGCATCAGAAAGCCCTCAGCTAGCAGGAGGGCTTCAACCTGAGCTCCACACAGGGTAGAAGAGTATCACAGGAGAATGGTTCTTTCAGTGCCTATTTCCCAAAAGTTTCAAAACATCCAAACTGAACGAGTTGTTTCAGCATTTTCCACAGAATATTCCAACTTACACTTCAAGCCATGTGGACGGCTAGAAATGAGCTCCCTGTACACCCTACTCTGTGACCTCTTAACAGATGAAAGGGAGCTATAGCTAAACAGCAGTAGAATACTAACTTTATTTTACATAGGTGATGAGTTACATATAGAAAATAACTGGCTTTCAACAGCCTGAAGAAACATACCCACACCACTTCTAAAACAGCGTATGTTTCTCTGTTTCCACACAGAACTGCATGATCTTTCACAATTTATCACATTTCTGCATTCTTCTCTTCCCAGTTTCCTGGAAAAGCAGATTAACTGGAGAAAGAATATCCCAAGTCTGCAGGCGAATCACAAGCCCAACTATGCAAGAAACCTGTCTATAGAGGAAAATTTTTTAAAATCTGTCATCACAACTTACATTCTGGTGTAGGCTTCACACCTTTTAATTGTTGCTGAAGTCTCTTCACATTATTTTGTATTTTCGATAGCTGCTGCAGGATTTTAGCTTCTGTTAAACAAAATAAGGTGCTGATAGTTCTAATAGTTTCTCTGTGCACTAAATTCAGTACAAGAACAAGAACAATGAAGTGTCCAAAATAAACTGGGGTTTTCATCCAAGCATGGACACAAATTCTGTTTGATCATAAGAAACTGTCGTAACACTAAGCATTTTAACATGACTGTAACTGCATGTAGCTGACTGCACAGGCCACATATCTTCCCACACAGTGTCAACAGATTTTAAAATTAGTAGCTCCTGTTTCTAAAGGGGTTGACAGGATAGTCATAGCTAGATTAAATCAGGGTGGTGTTTTGTTTTTTTTTTGTTTTTTTTTTTTCTTTTCTCCAAACCTTTTATCAGGTAACCAGAGTTTGGAGAACACTGCCTGTGCAGATGACACCTCCTCTAGAATTTCGAAGGAAACTGACCTAGGCCTTGAAAAACTCAGCAATGAAGAGAAAAGAAACTTGGAAAGCATATGTGAATGTACTACTTCAACGAGATTTATTTATTTGCTGTGTTAACTAAAGTAGAATCAATGTTTTCATGTACTCCAAGCATGCATGCACTTATTTGCTTTGTTATTTTGGCTCCTCGTGAGTCCGTAAATAAAATACTGATGAGGGTGAAGTTCTGGATACATGTTAGGTGTGAAGGAGCTGTATCACCTATCCTAAACGATTTGGTTTAAGGAAGGGATAACAGATTACAAGACCTATATGTAACAAAATGTAGCTAAGACATGACTCTACTAGTTCTTGCTGAGACCACAGAAAGTGTAAAAGCACATAGATCGCGCTGAAAGACCCGAACATATAAATGGGAAGTTTGGGGGTTCTAGTACACACCCTAAAAGATCACACTCTAACACTCCTTCACATCTCACACATAGTGTCTTACACCTCTCATCTTTGTCCTTTTTATTATCTCACAACAGTATTTCCATCCATACTTCAATGCTCCCTTCTTACCCCTAGAAAATTTTCTGAACTTTTTAGCTTAGTCATTCCTCGGAAATATTTACATTTCTTAAGGACTGCAAGATGTGAAGGATATGATAAGTTTCCTTAACTAAAAGATGCACATTAAAACATATAGAAATTTAGAAGGTGAGTGTATTTTTAGTTGTCCCTACATGTCCTTTCCCTTCTTCAACTTATTTTGTTTTGATCTTCTATATCAGAAGGCATAGCATGATTTATTTGACTACTTTTGAAAGAATCTAGGTACTGTGACCAGGGACTCACTTTCTTTCCTCAAGTATTTAATTAGCCTGTAAGTGGAACAGATATTGTAGGACAGAGTGTGTACCATCTCACTATTTAGACTATGAATTTTCATTATCCACAAATTTGAAAAATGCAAACAGAGAACTGTTTAAAAGTATATTTAGAGGCAGCAATCGGTGCGTGAAAACTTATGTTGCGGTAAGTATATATTTATTGTACCTTAGCTAGACTACATTAGATTTTGCAATACACACACAAAATTTGATTCCAAGTTTCTAAAACAGTAACTTTCCACTGAGGTTGTTGTGGGTGGTATCTGCTACATTGAAGATTAAAAGAAAACAATTAATAACACAGAAAGCCCAAAATGTTTATGATTCTGAATTTTGGAAGTGAATTGTGGAAGTCTTCTTTATAAGCAGCACAAATGGTGAAATACCACACTTCTATCAACATCTACCTTCCACCTGAACTAATCTCTCTGTACTACTGATTATTAAACCATTTCAACAAACAACAGTAGGATAAAAAAAAAAAAAAGGGCAAAAAAATACCCCAAATAAAACCCCAAGATGTCCCTTTTTGTCTTTTTCTATATGTGCAAGCCTGGGAAAAAAAGGGTGCCACACTGAGTAAGACATGAATACTTAGCAAAGCCCCAAGATTTTCCAAGGTTAGTATCCAGCTGAGGCTGTGTCAACAGGACTATCTTAGATTTTATACAAAACACTAGTTTGTTCCTACAGCTGTTTTCAAGGAAAATCTTTCTGCAGTTACAAGACTACACACCAAAGTAATCCAAGAACTTGAACAAGAGAAAGAAGTTAACAAGGAAATTACCTCACTGACAGGCAGCGGTTCACACACTGAAATGGCCTAAAATTTTATCTCTATGTTCACTGCTGGGAAGCCTGACGAGAATTTTCATTGGAAAGCACAGGGACAGAGACAGGCTGTATTAATGCAGTTGCACACATAGATGGAGCTCCAGCACAGACAAAAGCACATTCCCTCAGCCTTAACACTAGTAATAGTACTACTGCAATGCAAGATTCTAATTCAAGTTCATTAGCATTTAAAGAACTTAAGATATTAAAGCTGCTACCTTACTTACTGACTATGCTTTATGTATAGTACAGAGAGTTACAGGTAACTTTTGCTTTCTTACTAAGGTCAGAAGCTTTAGAGTGCAACTCAGAGTGGGATGGGCTTCACTTTACTACAAGCAGGCAGTATACTAGGGTCTGACCTGCAGAACAGCACATGCAAAAGTACTGCAGATACTGCAGTCCGGAGCACATCTATGAAGTTTGGTGCCACCACACTGGAGATCAGAACAGCAGGACACTGGTGCCACACAGTACAGAGACACCTGGTAAGATTCCCAACATTAAGCAACACCACCGACAGCCCAAGAAACTGTCTCTCAGTAGCAGCTTGGTTCTTCAGCAGACTATTGCTGCTATATGGTTCAAACCCCTATATGGTGCAGTTTATGGTTCACAGTTTAAATGCTTTGCTGTCCACTGGAATTCACAGACCAGACCCAAGTAACAAATCTCCCCACACAGTGCAGTAGAAGCCTTCAGAGTACAACAACTACAGAAGCACAATGTGCCGTAGTTAAATGGCATGCCTTCTTTGAAGCTGCTTGGGAACGTCTACATCACCCAGCAGTCAATTTTTGAGCCATAACCCAGGATCCGGAATAGCCAAGGAGGAGCTGATTCAAGCAGACAGCGTAAAACATTGCTGTGAGACTTAAGCGTCATTGTTCATTCAGGATTCACAACTATAAACCTCTGCTTCAGCCAGGAGGCTATGTCAGCTCTTCCTCATGAAGCTCCTCCATGCAAGAAGAAACCTCCCTGTTCTTTCAGCTGCCAGCGTAGTTGTTACAGCACTTAGGCAAGATGTGCGCAAACAGATTTAAATCACTTCTGTGCCTGAGCTGTCCTGAAGCCCCATTTTCCAAAGCAGTGGCCTAGATACTCCAGAGGAAGTGCTTTCAGTCTTCTCTGAGGAAGCTGTTGTAATGCTGCTGCAATTCCCTTTTGTTGGTATGTCTTAAGGGCTTTAGGTCCTTAGAAGGGTAAGCACAGCTGAGTAGGAAAACTGAGAACTCAATTATGCCACATGCACTTTCTTTTTTGTGCATCTAGTGCAGCAATAGCTTACTAAAGAAGATGACTGACCAAAGGCCAAATGGTAATTAGAACAACAGGGCATTTTGGAGCTCATGAGCCTATCCTGAACTATTTTAACAATGACAATAAGCTGCCTGAGCTCCTGAAAATGAAATCTTAGCCTGAAGGTTTCAGTATCATAAATTCTTACCTTGAACCTTATTTACCTCCAGAACACAATGAAAATATACTTATGATGAAGTGTTTAACTTACTGAGTTTTTAGCTTTTCTGCAGTTCTTATGAATTCAACTTTCTTAGCTTGTTCAGCTTTCATCTTCCCGTTCTGAAATTGTCGACCAGCACCTGCAGTACTGGAACAGCTGTCATTCTGTACATAACAAAATCAAATATTCAAAACCAGGATTTATTTTTTAAATGGTCATTGGTTACTTTTAAGCAGACACCACCACAGTGCAGAGTAACAGCATTACTTCAGTTTTATACTGGCACAGTTGCACCAATTTTAAGTCACGCAGGTATAAAACCGGAGCGATGAGTGATGGCAGGCTGATGACTGCATACAAAAATGCATTTTTCAACAGAAAAATGGAAAAGACTGCAACACCAGCTTGCTTTAACAGAGGCTGCTCACCACACTGCAATATGAAATCAAGGCACATGCCGTGTCTCTCATGGCAGTCAGTCTCTGACGAGTCAGTGACTACTGACCTGACTACCAGCATGTCATCTACGCTAGCCAGATTGCCCCCACTTCATCTTGTTCAAGAGAAGCACTAGCTTACTTCTGAAATCTGCTTAATACCCCCTGAAAATTGCCAGCTCTTACCACAGCAAACCCTGAACATCCTCAACACAGCCACTGCAAGGAGTGCAGCTCATGACCGCGCCTGTTCAGGTTATGAAGCTACCATTTTGGGGCCAGCCCGGCAAACCCGCGCTGATTCCTACAGGTTTCTTGTTAGCGTTCATCCCTGCACCTTGTACGCGGCTGCAACTCCTC